TATTAAAGAGTTTAACAATACTAAAAGATATTACAAACTGGAATCAGAAAGAAAAAAGGAAATTTGAAAGAAACACAAAGTTCAGAAAAAAGGAAAAGGAAAAAATAGGGGAAGAAAGGATATTTAAAGACATAACTCCTGGTCTTGCTTTCAGCAAGTGGTTCTGGCCATGTCCTGGTCTCTGCTCCTTTGGAGACATCTTAGGCAAGTTTTTATGTGCCAGTAAAACCACTATTTATGCAATTTGAGTGTATCGTGCAAATATGCAAACTTTGCATCATTAATTTTCTTTCTGCTAGCCACAGCAAAATGTAAAGAACAAGCAAGGACAATTATACTGTACCTGCTAGACAAAGGTTGTGCTCAGCACATCTCTTCTGTACGTTCACTAAGCACGTTCAGAAGAACTCAAGTATGTTATCACTCAACTCTCTGCTGATCCATCAGCCATCAGATGTTTCAGTAATTGAAACATCTTTTGTAAAATAGCTGAGAGGTTTTTTTTAAATTTAGAACAGCTCAGTTATTACTGTTGTGTTTACAAGGGCATAGATCATATAGACACCCACGGGAACATGGATGGGGAATAAAGTAGCATTTTGCAAAATTGTTTTTTTGTAAAATGTTATTGCTGTTGTTAATTATTGTTAGTCGCGATGGGTTGTGTCTGACCCCTTGCGACCCCCATGGACAACATTCCTCCAGGCCTTCCTGTCCTCTACCATCCCCTGGAGTCCATTCAAGCTTATGCCTACTGCTTCGGTGGCTCCATCCAGCCATCTCATTCTCTATCGTCCCTTTCTTCTTTTGCTCTCAATCTTTCCTAGCATTAGGCTCTTCTACAGTGAGTCATTCCTTCGCATTAGGTGGCCAAAGTATTTGAGTTTCATCTTCAGGATCTGGCCTTCTAAAGAGCAGTCAGGGTTGATCTCCTCTGGGACTGACTGGTTTGATCATCTTGCAGTCCAAGGGACTGGCAGGAGTTTTCTCCAGCACCAAAAGCCTCAATTCTTTGGCGCTCAGCCTTTCTTATGGTCCAACGTTCCCTTTGAGTTGTTCGCCACCCTGAGTCCCTCCTGGAGAAGGGCGGCATACAAATAAACCAAATACAATACAATACAGCCATATATTGCAACTGGGAAAACCATAGCCTTGACTATACGCACTAAATCTTAAAATGAGAGCCAGTTTGATATAGTGGTTAAGGCACTAAATTAGAAACTAGGAGTCTGCAAATTCTAACCTCACCTTAGGCAAAAAGCTAACTGGGTGATTTGGCGCCAATTACTCTTTCTCAGCCCTAAGGAGAAGGCAACAGCAGAAAAAATGTTGCTAAGAAAACTGCAAGTTTCTCCCTGCAAGTCCAGGGAGTCATCAGGCATTCAAAACTGAGCTGAAGGCACACAAAAAATGTCTTAAAACACCAATTTCATGTACTAAAAATTTAAAACTTCCTTCAAAACAAGATTACATAGTATAGCCTCTTTATTAGTAAATGTACAAAAAAGTTTAGCCCCTGATGGAAAAATATTGGTTCTCCTTGAAGTATTATAGGAAGCTATACAGTCTCAAATCACCCAGTTAGCTTTTTGCCTAAAAGAGAGGCTAGAATTCCCAGACTCCTAGTTTCTAATCTAGTGCCTTAATCATTATATCTGTGATGGTGAACCTATGGCACGTGTGCCACAGGTGGCCTTCAGAGAACTCTCTGTGGGCATGCCAGCTGTCACCTCAGCCCAGCTCCACTGCACATCTGTGCATGCCTCACGCCAGCCAGCTGATCTTTGGGTCTCTGCCGCACATGGGGGGGGGGCAAGGTGCCTGCACCAACTTGGAAGCCAAAATGGGGTATGGGGGTGCATGCGTGGGGAGAGGTCGCAGGAGAACATGGGAGGTGTCACACATGCAAGGGCTGGGTTGCATGCACATACATGGGGGTAGGGCACATGTGCGCATGTGGGAGGGCGCAGGGAGGTATTGGGCACACATTACATTATGGGTACTTTCGGCAAGCAACAACAAAAAGAATAGCCACCACTGCACTATATCAAACTGGCTCTCACTTTAAGATTTATTATTTTACAAAAAAACATTTTTGCAAAATGCCACTTTATTGCCCGTCCATGTTTGTGTGTGTCTTTCATGAGTGTTTAGTATATATTGTCTGCACTTGTAAATACAAATCTAAATCAGGAACGTTTATACCGGCAAGGAGCAGTTCCAATTGGTATCTCAGGGATGCTAAAAAAAATGGAAATTGGGTCTGCTTAACTGCTGCGCTATTGCCGTTCCACACCAACATGTTCATAGGATTGCTTTAGCAATCAAAGCAGTAAGTAAAAAATTCTTACCATAAGGGTAGGGAGTAAAGCTTAGGTTACAACCCAAAACAGAAACAGCATGAGGGTACATTCAGTACAAATAGGTTGTGCTGAAAACATGCTGCCTTTTGTCGGTGAGCTACACAATCCAAAGCGTATTTGCATATGTTACATGTGTCATATTAAGCCGCTAGCAAGTATCTTTCCCCCAAGGTGCATTCAGAGTGCAGAGCAATAATTATATTTGGATGATTAAACTAATGAATTGCATTTCCATCTGCTCAACCAATTCTCTATAGAGAAGAACTGAGGCTGGATTTTATTTTTAATGTAGCAACCTTCAAACAAAGATATCAGCTACATCCTCATTGCTGTAAGTATTTAAATGCAGTTAGTTAGCTCTGCTCGCTGTAAAAGAAAATATGTGCAAATCATCATAATCTGCTGGACTCTTGTTGAGCAGAAATACTGAAGCTTGGCATCCAAGAGGATATCTTTATCAGATAATATTTCAGGACAACAGTTTTTTTGATAAAGTTTTTGTCTAAGACTTCCACTACTTAGCAACATTTTATTTGTATATAATTATAATGTCTTTTAAATGAACAGAGCATCCAAAGTTGCTTTCCTACTTTCTAAGACAGGCGATATGTGTCCAACAGCTGTCTCACATGCCAGGTTTGTAAACCATCCCTCAAGTGATGTAACCAACAATTGGATCTATAAAACAAGACTGGGCTGAGATGCTATTATTACCCTGTTTTCCCCCAAATAAGACCCAACTGGAAAATAAGCCCTAGCATTTTTCAGGATGCTCATAATATAAGCCCTACCCCCAAAATAAGCCCTTTAAGATCATCAGCCAGACGGACGCAATTAGCGCCATATTTTCCCAAAAATAAGACCTAGCCAGAAAATAAGTCCTAATGCATCTTTTGGGGCAAAAAATAATATAAGACCTAGTCTTATTTTGGGGGAAACATGGTAGTAGTGGTTGGTTGGCAGTAAAAGTAGTCCCAGACTTATCTGTAATACTAACTATCCACACAAATGGTGTTGTTGTGTCAACTTGTAAAGTGTTTCCATGACTACTATCAAGTTGGCATAGAAAAAGGGAGGGAGGAGAATTCCATGCATACCTTTGGCCAGAATCAGGTCTCATATTCCTACAGCTGGTGTATGAAATACTCATGTTCATAGTCTGCCATAGCACTTTGTTGGTGGATGTGATTTATGACACAGACAGAGGGGAGGGGATACAGGGGTAAAGTTCAAACGCAATTAAGCAGAAATCAGTTTCGGCTCCACAGAAAACATGCCAAAATGTTGATCCTAATAAATGAATGGATTTTTTTTTGAACTTTGTCTCATGGCTAGTAAATTAATTAGGTCATCCTTTGGAAACTTCACAACTTTGCTGCCTTTCCTTGTCAAGGAAAGAGCTACCATTTTTGTTTCTACCTGCATGATTCATGGCTTCCCCACAGGCCAAATTAAAGATACCCTGAGATTTGTTTCCATAGTAGAATATAAGGATATGTGTTCTTGTATTATTCACCTTGAAAATTAAGAAAATATGCTAATAAAACCCCAGCATACCAATATTTTTTATTTTAAAAAGTAATTTATACCAGTTCTGTGAAAACATATACATTTACATATACATTTTTAAATACAACACAAATATTTTCATTTATTAAAAAAAAATCCTTATGTAAAAGTAGCTTGCTTTTTTTATGAGTGATATCGATAATTTACAGCAGATATAAAAATATCTTCAGTCATTTTTGCTGGGTTTGATAAAAATTAAGATGAGAGAAGGTGAGAGAGAAGACACCAATTATTTTCATCCAAAAGTTATTCTTCCAGCCTGAACTTAGCCAGGAGAGGGAGATGGTCAGAGGAATTGCTTTCATTAGGAAGTCCATTGACTCCCCACAGATCTTGCTCAGTTACCAATGACAGTCTACCCAGAAGACTCAGTCCTCCACTGAAAAGAAGTTCAGCTCCTGTCAGAAGAAAAAAGTCTTTTTAGATACTGCATATATAGTGTGAACACATAGATACTGCTTGGCAGGCAATTTCATTTCTGCCACAGCTCTGTTCAAATCTGGACATATTATAGTGCTATCACTGAGTGTGACATGTGTAAAAATTGCATTTACTATCATGGGTACTTTTCTCCAATGTGTGCATCTAGACGTGTGGATCTCATGTGATAACATGAGAAAAGACTTGCCAGTGAAGTGTGATGCACCAGTTGGAACATGCACAAACAACAGCACAGAGTTTTAGCATGCTTACTTGCCAAAAGATGGTCAAATGATTGGTAACAGAGGTGGCGCAATGGTTAAATGCAGCACTGCAGGCTACTTCAGCTGACTGCAGTTCTGCAGTTCGGCTGTTCAAATCTCACCGGCTCAGGGTTGACTCAGCCTTCCATCCTTCCGAGGTGGGTAAAATGAGGACCCAGATTGTTGTTGGGGGCAATATGCTGACTCTGTAAAACGCTTAGAGAGGGCTGAAAGCCCTATGAAGCGGTATATAAGTCTAACTGCTATTGCTATTGCTAACATTTCAGCACCATCTAGTGAATCATTCTCTCTCTCTCTCTCTCTCTTTCTCTCTCTCTCTCTCTCTCTCTCTCTCTCTCTCTCTCTCACTCACACACACACACACACACGAGCATGCAGGAGTCATAACATTATTTCCAGACAAAAACACTATCAGGATTAAAATAGAACATGGGTGCAATTTTTTCAAGCCATAATAATTTTATGTGTTCACATCTGCAGCTTAAATTTAAGCAAAATAAATATGAATGAGCCAGCTAGATTTACTTTTGATCACTACCATTCTGAGAATAGTATTTATGCAAAGAGAGAATTCACTGCAATAAAGATAAGAAAAAAAATGCTGGGAAGTTGCAAGCATTCATGCAAGGCTAGGATGTGGACCAAGCCATTTGTTCAGACAATACAAAAATTCAAATACAGTCTTGTGCATAAATCAACTCTCTTCTATGTTTATAGGATTCTGTAAACCAGGGGTGTCAAACTTGCATCGTCACGGTGGCATCATGTAATGTAGCGGGACTTCCCCCCCTTTGCTAAACTGGGTATGGGCGTGACCAGCATGTCACACATCTGGCCCATTGGCAGCGAGTTTGACAGTCCTGCTGTACGCTGTAATGAACTGAAGATACTACTTTCTACTTGGTCCACCATGGATGAAAATATACCAAATTGGCCACAGGTTTGGTACAAGATTTGGTTACCTGATTCCTGAGTAACATTGTCCCTTGCTACAGAATAGAAGATGTAATCTACAGTCACTGCACTTCTTGAGTGGCAGGTTGTTACTTCTGGAACTCCATTGTCAGGCAGATAATGAGAATAGACTGAAGACAATTGAAAGCTGTGATGTAAATCTGTGGGCAATCTAAAAAGGAAAAGGTGTGATAAAAAGCCTGAATATTCCACAAACCTATCTTTCTAAATCTAGGTTATCAACATATAAAGCTACCTATGCAGACAGTCAGGAACATGGCTATCTCCCTCTACTCCAGCATTTAAAGAATCATCTGCTGATCTTCCTTTTTTCGGCAATCAAGTTGCCACAGAATAAACTAACCTAGGTTTTATAAGATACATAAGATTTTGTATATCCCTGAGTATAAACCTGAAATACTTTTAAGTGAAAACCTTCCCAATACTGTTTAATCAGGATTTAATAAACTTGAAACAGAGAAAGCCTATCTTTTTATTCTTTCCTTCACTGCAGTTTTAATGTGATAATATTGACCCCAATTACACAAGGTCTTAAATCACCCTTAATGATTCATGTGAATGAATATGCTACTTTCCCTTCCCACAAATCCTTGTCTGTGTTCAATGATTCTTCTAGAATTGTTTTTGCCTTAGTTTAAGCTTGCATTATAAAAATCCAGCTAAATCTGGGTGCTTCAAGTATTGACAACTGAAAAGCAAATTAATAAAAATTGATAAGAATTACCTTTTTGCTACAATTAGGATCTCTTCTGACTGTTCTAAACTTGTATCTTTAGTCTCTCTGCTCTCTAGAAAATAAAGGATGCTGGTGATAGGAATATATACCTGACATTAGAATCAGATAGTTTAGTATATCTATTAGGTTGAACATTCACTTTTCCAGTCCCTCAGGTAGAATTTCCCCCCCAAAACTTGCTGTTTGATTATTTTAATTGGAAAGATCAGTTTCTATAAAACTATCTTCCCCAACGATGAATCATCTGTGGCCCCATTGCAGCAGAAGCCACTTCTAATCATGTTTGTTTAACATTAAAAGTGAAGTTTCCTGAAGTGCCTTCTCTGCTCTCTGGGACAAAATCACCTCAGAGGTTTGTTTCTCCCATCCCCTTCACATTGTTTAAAAGATCCCTTGAAGTCTGGCTCTTCTCTCTGGCCTTGGGTTGGACTGGGTGTCAGGCCCCTTGTGTTTTCTATGGAACTTTTCGGAGTCTAGTGGCTTTCTTCTGAATTCCTGGGTTTTTTGGGGGGGTGGGTGGGTGTATTTATAATAGTTTTAAATTTGCATGCCACTGGCCTTATAAATACCATATAATCAATGAAATGAAATGTAGCTGAAATTTTGAGGTAGAAATAGATGTAAACTGCATTACAAGACTACAGGAAAGCATATGAGTGAGACTGTATAAAAATCACATATTTTACTTGAACGTTTCGCCAAACATTATTACAGTTAAAAAAAGCATCCCCCAAATTTGTCACAAAAATCCAGTCTTGCCCACCCACTCTGTGGCCCTCAGACCGCCTCAAAATATTAAGCCCTGTCCCTCAAACTATATCCAACTTTGATCAATCCAATATTTTGCTTTCTGTAACACTGGCTCTCCAAAGTCTGAGGTAGATTCCACCTCCAAATAATTTCATTTGATTCTGATATTAAAAAAAGAACAAATTGAAAATTCATATAATGGCCTTCAGTAAATAAAACAGCAGACATTCTTTCATGAAGCTACAACTATTGTGTAGATGTTCAGATAGACTAACACAATATTATGGCTCCTTCACTTCCACTCTGTCCAAAAGTTGCCCATACCTACAGCTGAGCACTTGGAATAACTATCAAAAACAACAATCCTGGTTCTATTGAATTTGCTTTCTAGGCTTTTGTAGAAACATTCAGCCTCTTAACACTTAACAATCATCTTTGAGAGAAAAGGAGTGTTCACAAAGCCACTCCCTAGTTTCAAAGAATAAAATAAAAATCTACCTCTTTCTTTTACTAGGCGTTTCTGATGTTCCTCGTACATACAATCCTGAGAAATGCCAAGGCTGTGAGGCCAAATGGGAATCTTAAGTATCCTTTGGCCCCTTGGGGACTGTTCCTGGCCAGACACCTTAAAAACAAAAGACAAAACAAAACAAGATGTAGGTATATTCTTAGGAATTAATCAAAACAATCCTTCATAGCTGTGTGTTCCACCAACCAGAATAACTAGTGTCACATATAAACCTAGCTGTTCTAAAATTCATTTCTGACTATTATTTCAAGAATTGGAATGTAAAAATGCTTTGTCTGTTTCAAAGTGTATAGTCCAACCTTGTGTAACACAGCTTTCCACCAAGAACTCATAACAGCATCCATATGACTAAGATCTTTATGCAGATGTTACTGAACCAACCCTTTAATGCAGTGGTCTCCAACCTTGGCAACTTTAAGACTTGCGGACTTCAACTCCCAGAGTTCCTCAGCCAGCAAAGCTGGCTGAGGAACTCTGGGAGTTGAAGTTCACATGTCTTAAAGTTGCCAAGGTTGGAGACCACTGCTTTAATGCACTCTTGTCATTTTCATTTCTGCTTTCAAACGATCCTTTGTAGATATCACCCTCTGGACTGTGGCAATCCTCATGTTACTGATCAAGATAAGCCAAGGCATGGTATACAAACTTCAAAGTGTATGCCTGCTTATTCTCAATTAGAGAGGGGAAGATCTAGGGGAGAAGGGGTGGGGTGGGGTGAAAAGTCCAGAAACATCAGAAGAAACCAATTCCAGGGCTTTTTAATGATATACTGTGGGTGGGTGGGGAGAGGAGATTCCTCATTTCCCTCCCCTGAATTTTTCCATTTCCACATCTCAAGCCTTTCAATTCTCACAGGCCTTAGTGCAATCTCTACTCTTACAATTGCTTATTGCAAGACATTAATAATTGTTGCTGACTAATTTTCAGGGACACTTGTTTGTCTACCTTTGTTTTCACAGCAGCTTCACAAACAGGTACTTACTTTTCCTATTGGCAGGCCTTCATAATTCAGCTTTCCTTCTGTCAAGAAATTGTACAGAGGAGAATGAGGGACAGAATTGAAATCACCACAGATGACAAGGGGACAAAAACGCCCATCTTCACGAATGGCAACACTGGTAATTTCTGCCAGGAGTATGGCTAGCTGGGTTAGTTTAATGTCTCCCCGCCTTGGATTATACAGGAGATGTGTATTGGCCACACAAATGGCTGTGGGGGCTTTGTAGGAAAACCGAGGCTGCAGGAGCAGAACTAGCCCCACATTATCTCTATCCAAAAGTGGGATATTGTGACGGAAGAATTCCACAGGATTGGAGGAAAGAAGACTGAATTTGGAGGTCTTGAAGCATGTGGCACAGCCATCAGGCTTTCTTCCTGTCCTCATTTTGTATTCACAGTGATAGCCTAGAAGAAACCAGAAAAGGACAAGTTTCATTTATTTCTAAGAATTACAGCATAGAAGATGAGCGAGAATCATGCCTCATGCTAAGCTGTAACACAGTTTACTTTTGGCTTAGGGCACTAGGTGAATCTGTTCATTACAGTAGATTTAACAAAGCATGGATAAAGAAATCAGGGGTTAGCACAATGTGACAATTCAGCATTTATAATTTAACAAAAATAGTTAAGCAAAACAATTTAGCATCATGGTTAGGCAGGAATGATTGGGCAGAATACATGTTTCACCATCAGCAAATTCTGAAGAATTAATGACACATAAAAGAACCTATTATATAGTATAAGGTAAAGGTTTCCCTCGTGCATGTGTGCTAGTTGTTCCCGACTCTAGGGGGCGGTGCTCATCTCCATTTCAAAGCTGAAGAGTCAGCGCTGTCTGAAGACGTCTCTGTGGTCATGTGGCCGGCATGACTAAACACTGAAGGTGCACGGGACGCTGTTACCTTCCCGCCAAAGGTTTGAGTATGATATAAACTTGACGTAGCTTAGAAAAAATTAGTTCTTTTTCATGTAGCTCCTGGAAAATCACTTTCATGAAGCTTAAATGAGCTAAC